TCATGAGTTGACATACTAGTTATGCTTTTATATACTACAATATTGAGCGACAACTTTTGATTTATCTTTCAATATCTTAAATAGTTCACAATTAACGGCTGATTAATTGCTAACATAAATTACAAATGCATGAAGTAGCTTGGACAAAGTATAACAACAACAAACAAGTTCAATTCATGGAATCAAAAAGAGATTAAACCTAATCCTAGGTATAAAACTTAGAAAAACATAATGAAAATGAAAGAAAGGATCAAACTTTTGTTGCAACTAAACATTAGAGTTAGACTACAAGAAATAATGAGTGAAAAAAAAAAAAAAGAAATCATTATCACAAGAGGTGGCTGTGTTGTGCTGCCAAAGCAGTAATTTTGCGGTAGTAGCAATTTGTGATTGCTATTTGATTTGCCTTCTTGGTCTGTACTTCACAAAATTGCTCTAACACAACGAGGGAGCAACTAGGCTTTAAATTAAACTGGATCTTGCAAGTAGTTTTGACCCTCTTATACATCTATAGGTGCAGTTTCTAACTTGGTATGCGATGATGGAGAAAAGAAGCTGATGCATAAGATTGAACAGCAATATTTCAACATCCAAATATCTTAGGTACTATTTTGTTCTTTTGTCAGTAGAAGTTTAAGTGAAAAGAGTAATTTGGATCCTGTATTAAGTAAAAAATATAAAATGATATACTTTTTTTGACACTATAGGTGATTTGATCCCTAATTAAAATGAATAGCAAATTTTACTGTTTTTCTTTAATGTATGGGTCGGTATTAAATTAATTAAATAATGTAATAGATGAGGGATAATGATAGAATCATATTATCTTTTATCTCCTAATATTACTTTTTAATTATCAATTAGGTCTAAATATTACAAGATAATTAACCTCAGGGGAGATTAGTGTAATTTTTCAGGGGAGGTTTATGAAATTATCCCAATTTTGAATAGTGAAGTTGGTCCGCGGTGAGGTGTGAAATTCATTGTGAATTTTTTTATCTCTGTCATTTCTATTCCACTAACAAACTGCTAGTTTTTTCCCCTATCTAGGGAGGGTCTAACTTGGCCAAGGGGTACTAGAGGAAGTGGTTTCCATCTCTATATAAAAGGCATATACTATTGCACACCTTTTAGATTTTACTGTAGATGGAAATACTTGAACTGTTAACCTATAGTTGAACGTATACTTTATGCACACCTTTTAGATTTTACTACAAATGGAAATATTTGAACCACTAACCTATAGCCAAACATCTACTTTATGCTTCATTTAGTGGTCAACACATCTAAAGCATCTAAAGCAAGTTGCTTGCTAGTAAGTTATCACATTCACTAAACTGTACTGTAGAAATTGTCTACTAGACATTAAATTAATTTGTTTGGATAGGGTATTATTTGAAATATTATTTGGAATAATTACTGTAGCACTTTTTGTGATGTTATGTATGTGAGATAAAAAGGTGGTTGAAAATATAAAAAGGTAAGTTGGAAAATGTGTTTATGATGCAAGCCAAATATTATTTGGGATAAGTTTTGTATCCAAACACTCCCAATTGGGATAAGTTTTGTCCATCACCCTCTCAATTAATTTACAACTTCCTAACTGCTGATTATCTTAGTGGGAATGGAGAAATAACTTGGACTTAGTTAAACTCCTTGCTCACCTTTTGTGCAAGCAAGTCCGTTGCTTGCTTTTTTTTTTTTCTTCTTTTTGAAGGACTTGCTTTTTAGATTAGTCACACACATGATTATCCCGTTCTTATAACTTTCTCTATGGTTCCATCGCTTGGCAAAACAATCTGCACAATTAATAGTCCCAATGTCATACTGTGAAGCTGCAGTTACATTTAGGCATTTACATACACTTCTCTCTTACCCGCACGAACCAAGCCCAATACTTGTTCTGAATTATAACAACTCCAAAAACATTTACAATACAATGTACGCAAGGTCTTGGCACCCTCATACATAATGAATCCCCAGTCAACTAGTTAAAATGTTAAAGAGAGATTATCTCCTATAAAAGTACTGCAATTTGGCAATTGAATCTGTTTAATAATGTCAATTTCAAAAAGCAGGGGAAAAATTCACTTTTCGTCCATAAACTTTGAGTTAGGGGCACATTTTGTCCCCAAACTTTTAAACGCATCACATTTAGTACATGAATTAATTGTTTTTTGTCACATTTAGTCCAAAAAAAGGTAAATTGCTTAATTTGAATGGAGAAAGTCACCTATTTGGTACGTGGCTGTTAAGTAAAAACAAATTTTCACTCAAAATCAACAGCCACATCAGTCTTCTCCATCCAGATTGAATATTTTACCATTTTTTGACTAAATGTGGCTTAAAATAATTAATTCATATACTAAATATGATGCGTCTAATAGTTTGGAGACAAAATGTGTCATTAACTTAAAGTTTAAGAACGAAAAGTGATTATTCCCCAAAAAGCAGCTTTTGGCACTGCCCTTCCATCCATAACATGTGATGTTTGATCCTGTAAATTATACTTTTGAAAATAATACTCCTATATCTTTACCTTTCCAGTTTGGTTCCTTAAATTTTAGAGTTCATGTAAAGTCACCACTCCAACCAAGAGATCAAATTGACACAATCTTGTAAATTGCAGAAGCCACTTCAAAATAATTTGACAGCCAAAATATAGGTGTCTATCGGCCGAAAAGTGATTTAGTCATTTAATTTCAATTTTTTTGGGCATAAAACCAACTTCTGATCACCTTTTAAGCTTTTATTTAGCAATTTGAATTGCAGTACTTGGATCTCGATTGAAAAACCAATAATTCTGTAAATATTTGGCATTTTCAATTTAAACATTTATGTGTCTTTATTTTAGGTTGTTTATATGTTTTTGCAAAATTGGTAAACCAGGCGAGTTAAATTTTCTATATCAGTTCAACATAAAACAACTAGTGAGATTCAATCCTAAAAAAAAAAAAAAAAGAAACAAAAGTATCGGTAAACTATATGAGCAAAGATTATGAGATCTCCCTATAATAAACTAAGGGTCCGTTTGGTTTGTGAAATGACACATGATTGGATTAATCATCCAGTGTCATACTGTCATCCTATATTTGGTTGTATTTTATATATGGGATGACACATCCCAATTAACCAAATTAATCCCCTATTCATAGAATAAAATAATTTCATGGAGGAGGTGGTATTAGTCATCCCAAAAATAACTAATAGATAGGATGATAAAATTTTAGATGAATTTATCTTTACGAATAATACAAATTTATACTCTCATAATTATATAACCCTACTGACTCCCACATGATAATATAATATAAATGGACTAATTTTTGTCCCTACCAATTAATTTTAAAGTTTTTTGACTAATGTGCTCCCACTACCAACATAATAATATTTAGACTAATTTGCCCTTGTGAATGATACAAATTCATACCGACTATTATATAACCATACTCTCACATAATAATATAACAATAAACAGACTAACTAGCCCCTTCTAATTATATTAAAAAATTTTCACCAATTTGCCCCTATTCATTATTTTAACTTTTTTGACTAATTTATTCATATTAATTAATTTAAATTTTTTGACTAATTTGCCCATACTAACATTATAATAAAAGAACTATATTGCCCTTGGACTAAATTACCCTTACGAAGTTTATTTTCTCAACCAAATTCTAGATAAATACACAATCCTATCAATTCGGCTTTGTGAATGAGGGTTTCAATAAGTTCAAACTTGGTTCAAAAGAAAATCTTCTAGTCTTAATTGATTTAACCCTAAATTAGTCAAAACTTGGCCCATCATTTAATTGGATTTCAAATTCAGATTGAAAAACTCGATCAAAATTTATTGTTAATAGTGGGAATGGGTTGAGTTTGAGTGAATGCAAATTTTTATATATCAAAACCCTTGATTTACTTTATAATTCTACAGTTTCAAACTACTGTATTTTAATAAAAGTTATAATATATTAAATTTTTTATTAATATTTTATAAAATATTAAATTAATTTATTAAAAAGAATCTACAAATTAAGGGGTACGTTGGTTATTAAAATAGTAATCCTACCTTATCCAATCTTGAACCAAACACAGAATAAGATTATTTTCCAATATATCCTATCCAATCTAAAACTAACCAAACACTATGTAACTTGGCTTATTAATCCAAGGATGACTCAATCCAAGATTAATAATCCAAAAATAAGTTATCCCACTCATCCGATCCGTGAACCAAACAGAAAGGTGTGAGATATACGGGATGGAAGGTTAAAAAAGAGAGAGGTGTAGGATTGTTATTTTTCCTTATCTTTAACATTTGCATTTTAGTCAAAGTTTAATTTTTCTTTCTTGTAAATGCATAGTTAATCATTTTCAATTCATTCACACTTCAATTGCATACTCATAGTAACGTAGTTAATCATTTTTCCACCTTCAAAATGCATTTAAAATTTTGAAAATGCCAAATATATAAGGTAATTAAAAATTTTGTGTCAAAAAAATGAGCAATATATATATATATATATATATATATATATATATAGAGCAAATTACCATGATAGTCATCAAACTTTTTGAACAGTGGAGTTTTGGCTATTCAACTATTAATAGTACTATGTTTTTATTCACTAAACTATCAAAAATGTAAATTTTGGGTTATTCCGTCTAATTTTACCATTAACTCTCTCAAATCTAATTATTAATAGTATGTCTTGTGAATTGTACGAACCTTTAATTTAATAGAGTTAACGATGGAATCAAATAGAATAGTTTAAAATTTACATTTTTAATAATTTAGTGGATAAAAATATATTATTAATAATTAAATGACTAAATCTTAACTATTCAAAAAATTTGGTGACTTTCCCGGTAATTTGCTCATATACAAATATACATACATGTGTGTGTGTGTATGTGTGTGTTTGGAGGGCGGGACGGAGGGAGGGACGGAGGGAGAGGGATGAGGGCATAAAAGGACTACTAACTTAAAAAAAAAAAAAAAAGGCTACTGTTACCCAATTTCTAACAATTATCCATTGTCCCCACCCACAAAAACTGACTCCAATTTCCTTCCAGTTTCCTTCTCTCTCTCACTGTCCCCATTTGTGGAAAAATCAGTCTAATGAGTTAGGGCTATCGATTTACCCTCCAAACTCGATTAATTTACACCCACAACCTACTTTCCTCCTCCTCGATTCAGATCTCCTAACAACCTAAACATTGGACAGCCAAACCCCATTAAGGTAACCTCTTCCCTCCCTTTCCGTATTTTCTTATTCATGGATAGCCTCGCTGAACTGCTTTTAACCTGGTTTTACTTTTTTACAGAAATTAAGGAATTCAAGAACTGGACTATTAACTGATTATACTTATTGCTGAACTGAATTTGGTTGAGAAATTTGCTTTTAGTGCTAATGTAGTTAAAGTGATTAGTATATAATTACTTTTTTGTTGGCGTTGTTAATTTTGTTTCTTGAAAGCTATAACCATCTGGGATTTTATTGCATTTTTGTAGCTAATCAAGTCTACTCTATTTGGGAATTTTGGCAGTTTCTTTGTACTGGTTTGGAGTATACGCAATTTGGGGGAACCCATTTGGATTTTTGGGGAAATATTCATTTTAGGTATGCCCGCGTGGGAATTTTGGTGAATTGAAGGTGAAGGAGTGTCAAGATTGTGGTTTTTGTGGGGTATTTTGTGGAGGTGGAATGGCTGAGCTGGCATTAACTCAAAGAATGCCAAATTCGGATATGGGGTTGAGGGATGAGAGTTTAGTCATTGGGCAAGATTTTTCGGGTGTTGATGCTTGTAGGAGGGATATGGTTGAGCAGGATTTAACGTCAACTGCTACAAATTTGGATGTTGGATTGCCAGACCAGCCTTTAGTTATTGGACAAGAGTTCCCAGATGTCGATAGTTGTAGGAGGACTTTGAAGGACATAGCTATAGCAATGCATTTTGAAATTCGGATTGTTAAGTCAGATAGGAGTAGGTTCATAGCTAAGTGCTCCAAAGAGGGGTGTCCATGGCGCGTTCATGTGGCGAAATGTCCTGGAGTTCCTAAATTTACGGTTAGGACACTTCATGGAGAGCATACTTGTGAAGGAGTTCAAAGCCTCCACCATCAACAGGCATCTGTGGGATGGGTTGCAAGGTCTGTGGAAGCTCGTGTTAGGGATAATCCTCAATACAAGCCAAAGGAGATTTTGCAAGATATTCGGGATAAGCATGGGGTTGCTGTGTCATATATGCAAGCCTGGCGTGGAAAGGAGCGTAGCATGGCTGCATTACATGGGACTTTTGAGGAAGGTTATCGGCTTCTTCCAGCATATTGTGAACAGATAAGAAGGACCAATCCAGGGAGTATTGCTTCAGTTGTTGCCACTGGACAAGATAATTGTTTCCAACGGCTCTTTGTTTCTTACCGTGCAGCAATTTATGGGTTTCTTAATGCTTGTAGGCCGCTTTTAGAACTTGACAGAGTTCATCTCAAAGGCAAGTACTTGGGTTCAATAATTTGTGCCGCTGCTGTGGATGCTGATGATGCATTGTTTCCATTAGCAATAGCTGTTGTTGATTCAGAAAGTAATGAAAATTGGATGTGGTTCATGTCTGAACTCCGCAAACTTCTTGGAGTGAACACTGATAGCATGCCAAGACTTACAATACTTTCTGAGAGAACGATGGGGATGGTAGAGGCAGTTGAGACACATTTTCCAAATGCTTTTCATGGTTTTTGTCTGCGTTATGTCAGTGAGAATTTTCGTGATACATTCAAGAACTCTAAGCTGGTGAATATCTTCTGGAATGCAGTTTATGCACTTACATCTGCTGAATTCGAAAACAAAATAGCTGAGATGGTGGATATTTCACAAGATGTTCTAGCATGGTTTAACCAGTTTAACCCGCAGCTGTGGGCTGTGGCTTACTTTGAGGGAGTACGATATGGCCATTTCACACTGGGAGTCACTGAGTTGTTGTATAATTGGGCACTGGAATGTCATGAGCTTCCCATAGTACAAATGATGGAGCACATTCGCCATCAGATGACATCATGGTTCGGTGATCGTCGTAATATGGGCATGAGGCTGACATCAATTCTTGTACCTTCTGCTGAAAAGAAGATTGCAGAAGCAATTGCAGATGCTCGTTGCTACAAAGTTCTTCGTGCAAATGAAGTTGAATTTGAGATTGTGTCAACTGAACGGACAAATATTGTGGACATAAGAAGTCGTATTTGTTCTTGTCGACGGTGGCAACTTTATGGACTGCCATGTGCACATGCTGCTGCTGCGCTTATCTCTTGTGGTCAGAATGCTCATTTATTTGCGGAGCATTGTTTTACTGTACACAGCTGCCGTGAAACTTATTCACAGATGATATATCCTATACCAGATAGGAGCCTTTGGAAGGAGCCTGGTGAAGGAGCAGAGGGTGGAGGTGCCAAGGTGGATATTACTATCCGTCCACCTAAGACTCGTAGGCCTCCTGGAAGGCCTAAAAAGAAGGTTCTCCGCATAGAGAGTTTCAAACGTCCAAAGCGGGTTGTTCAATGTGGTCGCTGCCATATGCTGGGACACTCTCAAAAAAAGTGCACATTGCCAACATGATCCTTTAGTTCTCCATTTTATCTTTTCCTTTTTTTTTTTCCTTTTTTGCCATTCTTTTTTATTATGAAGTTTCCATGTGAAGTGTTCTGTCCTTGTAAGATTGACGTACTTCTTCAGCAAATTAGTTACTAAGCAGGCACATGGCTTCCATGCTGTAGTTTCACTTGTTCCTTGCATGTATTGCAGCAGCAAGTGATGTTCCCTTGTACTAGACTAATTAACTTCTCCCTTAACTGTATCAAAAATATTCTGTCTGCCCTTATCCTGTAAATGTTGTAATGTAACTGACTGTATAGGCTAGCAAATTTCATTCAAGTTTCTTTAGCATGGAGAGTTGTTACATACATGCATTTATGTGTTTTTATCATTGCTGTGGTCCTCTAAGTAAGTCAGTTACTGATTGGTACTCTGTTCATATTTAACTTTCTCTCTGTTGTTATTTGTTTTGTGGCTATGTGCCTAATTTTGCCTTACAATTATGATTGAAGGACAAGCGAACTCATGATAGCTATTCTTTAATATTTTCTAAAGGAATGTGATGTATATTTCCTGTCATCAACAAAAGCTGGAATTATTTTGACAATCCACATCTTAAGTTGTTTCTGTGGAGTATCTTGCTCTCCATTCATATAGGTAAAATTGTGATGGTTCTTGTGGTTCTGTGTATTGGCTGGCACATTTACACCTGCCAAATTCTTCAGCTGCTTTATGTGGATTGTAGATGATGATGAAGCAGGAATGCTTGATTGCTTGAAATGAGTTCTCTAGGTGCAAACTTTTGAAAAGAAGAAATAAAAAATATGCGGATGCTTTTATCTTTGTTGATCTCTTTGTGTTTGTTTTTCCTATTAATGACATTCCCCATATACAGTCTTCTATTGGTTCGCTCTTAACTGATGCAAAACTTGTGCAATCACTATCAGAGTTTTTTGTGGCCAATGTAGAGCATTGCTCTGGAGTGCCACCAATGAATTTCTGGAAGTTGGACTGTTTTATTCTCTTCTTGCCATGCAATGTGAGTGTGACCATTGTATTGGCTCATTTATGCATGTTACATTTGTCAACTGCTTTGTGCGCATTGTAGATGGCAAAGGACCAGGGATGCTTGATTGCTTGAAATGAGCTCTAAAGGTGAAATGAGCTCTCAAGTTGCAACGTAAGTAGAAGAAATCAAAAGAATGCCGATATTTTTTTCTTCATTAATCTCTCTGTCTTTATTTTTCCTACTAATGACATTCGCCTTATCTAGTCTTCTACCATTTGCCTTAACAGATACAAAGCTCGTGTATTTTGTGGCCAATATAGAGGATTGCTCTTGAGTGCCAGCAATGAAGTCCTGCAAGTTGCTTCGTTCTACTTTCGTCTTGCCATGCTACGCGAGATACAGAAGTATCAATAACAGATTCTCTTCTTCTGTTTGACATACTTTTACATACCAACTTTGAAACAAATTGCTTCTTGAAAATAAAGCCTGGTTGCTTGCGATGCATCAATTATTGCTAGAGATATTCCTCTACTAAATTTCTTTTCATGCCACTTTAAAATGTGATCTTATGGAAAGAAAATTGTTTTACTTTGTGATGCAGCTAATTGTACAAGTTATACTGTGGAGGCTAGCTCACTTTGGCTGTCAATTGTAGATAATTGATCTATGATTTGTTCTCTGATATCTGATTTTTACTTCCTTTCCTTCTCTTGCATTATTTTATTGTTGCAGTACCCTTTTAGATTAGCCCTAATGTTTGGAACTTACCACTTAGATCTAGAGCTGTATGTTAGGCTGCTTAAGGGTTCAATTTGGAGCCCAACTCCCAAATACTTAAATCTAAGTGATTTATGCATGGTCTGGCTTCAATTCATAGTTTGGATGATGGCCCAGTCTCTCTAAGTCATTATTGCAAGGATAAAGACAGCTGCTTTCCAGTCGTTACAAGTCATTACTCTATGAGAATGAGCACCTTAAATATCATGCTTAAAAGTTATAGAATCAAAGCCGAGTTTAGCATAGCAGGACAGTTGAGGACTTAATGGCAAACAATTAACTGAAAGATAGGAGAGAAGGTTAAGTACTTATTTATTCTTTTTTTGGGGGCGGGGGATGGGGGTTGGTACTGCTGGGGGGCTAGTGTAGTACCATCTTAGCAAAGAGGTCCTTACATTTTGTGTCATTATTGACTGAACCCAAATAGTTCTAAAGAATGTTGAGAAAATGCTGATCCAATGTGACAGCACAAAAGAATGTAATTTGCTTTCAGTTCCTTGTTTATGCATATTAAGCAACTAACTGATCTACATCTTCCTTTATTTACATAGATTGTCACCTGTTAGAATGCTTTCATGGGCAGTTTCCCTAGCAAACAAATCCGCCCACTTAGGTTTAGCAGCTTTCAAATCATCTTCTGAGGGAACTGTAGTACTTTACCATTTCTAATTTGCAAAATGATTCCCTTTTGCTTTTTCACTCAAAGAACGGTACTAATCTGCAGTTTCTCTATACTGTAGTTTACAGATCTGCCAGAAAACAGTGCAGATATAGTTTTGCTGCCATTCCTGAATTGCCAGCCCGAAGGTAGGTTGCCAACTCACTCCTGTATCACTTTTCATAATTCCAGTCTTTCACCATGTTATTCTCATTGACTGTGATTTATGGGAGAAAGAGTTGGAAGTAGAGAAAGTTGACTTTAGAGCCATAATAAACAAGATGTGGTTGCTTACCAGGAAACAGCCCTTGTTACGAGTTCCTTTATGTTTATGAAATGTTAATTTAGTTTTCTATGAAGTTGTAGACTGAGTATCAGGTTCTCTACTTGACCTTTTGATTGAAGGAATAGTTTCAAACAATTTGAGATGACTCATCCACACTTATGACAATAGTGGAAGCTTTTGGAGTTGAAGTAAATTCTCTATGTTTTTTTAAGATACTTAGTAGACTCCCATGAACTGGTGGTTTCTGCATGATTTGATGATCTCAATCAAGTTTGACCTTATTTAGCTCTTCCTGGGGTACCAGAGATAGTGAAAGATCAAAGATCATTGCTACTGATGAAAATGGAAATTGAGTATGGTGATATCTGGGTAGGAAAAATAAGTGTTGGTTAGGGGAGAGATGGTTCTAGTGTCATCACTGACAAACTGTATGGTGGACGTGGTAGTGAAGATTATGTCACAGGGTCAGTATCTGGAATTGAACTATGTAATTTTGACTTACTATTTTGGATGGTAATATTGACTATTTGACTCGAACCATCGGCCTGACGTTTAGGGGTTAAGATTGTGGAACTGAATTTGATTGCTAAGTACAATGTCTTTTTGATTTAGTGTTTTGCTGTGGAGTCGTACTACTGGGTTGATTTTTTATGAGTTTAAGATTGTGGAACTGGATATGATTAATTAGGTAGAAAGAGTACCTGGTACTTTACATGCGTGAACACCTTCATTGAAGCTTTGGAGTAGACTAGTGCATAGAAATGTGTGCATACTGACATCAGCTTGTTTATGGTGCAGTGTCGGCAACTGCAAGTGCAAAAGTCCAGCTCTTTTAATTCCGGTAAAACAGTAATAAAACAAGATGTCACATGTATTTCGATACTAAAGATATATAAAAAACTAAAGCAGAAAAGAGACAAATTTTGACGGTAATAAACATGCTTTGCTGTATTTATTTCTTTGGTGATAAGCAGTAAAAAAGTGTTTTTAGGTCAACATTTAATTGGTGGAGAAGGTATGAAAGTTGATATGTTGGAGCTGCAAAAATCAGTTGTTTTTTCTGTAGTAAAATAATTTCATGTAACCTTTGGCCCAATAAGACATGCAATTGCTCTGTAGAGGTAAAACAGTTTCGTTCTTTTGTTTTCAAATAAGATTTGCCTTTGCTTTATGTTCATCTTAGTCTCTTTCGTCAGCTCTATCTGTTATCTTAACTTCCAGTCTAAAGCACTAGAAATCATTTTGAGATTCAAAGTGGATGTGGCAATCCTTAAGCGAGGCTTTCCGTTACTTGAAACTGCTCATTTTCATTAATTCCTAAGTCAGCTGTTACATTGTTTCTTTTCCAGAGTCCGAACTGCATAAGCCTTGTTCACACTGCATTCTGGATTTGCTATCTTCCCTTTGTTCATGACATGATAATTGCTATATATATATATGGTTCGTCTTAAGGATAGGCTGTGTTTTGTGGGAAACAGTCACCTTCTCTGGCAAAAGACATGGAGGACTCCAAGTCTACCATGGAGAATTCCAAGTCTACCATGGAGAAACGGGTTTTGACACTACAAGAGAGAAAGCAACAAGCAGATAAGGAACAAGAGGCAGTGGAGAAGGAAGTGCAGGAACTTTTGACTTGGGTACTGACTACTTATCTATTCACCGTGGAATATGTATCTACACATTAAAGTTTAGGGTTTGTAATTTGATATGCTACCCCTTTTTCGTTCAACATAAACATGCTACATTTATTCGAGTCAGAGATGATTAATACTGGAGTAGATTTTGTGCATGAGGAATTCATTTTTGTGTTTAACATCTCTTTCTGTGGGAAAAAAAAAATAAATGACAGACAGATATGATCGAAGGCATGGATGAGTCTCAACTGAAAACATATGTCAAGAACAGGCCGAAACACCTGAAGACTGCAAAATGGGAAAAACTTGGAAAGAGCAGAAGGGTACAAAATTAGTGATTATTTGTAGACTGATTTTCCAGATGTAACAACCTCTAAAATCAAGCAATGGTTGACAAGTTGGAAATTTCTGTTTTATCTTTTCTTTGCAGTTTAAAGGGATGGAAAAATGTAAAAGATCTGTCAGTAGTGGAATAATGGCCACTGTTTGGAAGTTTCACAAAGAAGGGGATGGCGGTTCTATCTAGTCTCTGTTTACTTCAACAATGTGGCTCTATTTTCATCTTCTTCGTGTGTGTATTTTGTGTGCGCGCCCGTGCGTGCGTGCGTGCGGGCGTATGTTAAGGCTAAGAGAGGCAATTAGTACATCTTGCAAGTATATACCTACCATAAAATATGTGTCTGATATTCATATCTCCTCTGTACATGGTTCATTGTTGTCATCGAACTGCAAACTTGTTATTATCTCTGCATTATTGGCTCACTATCATCAGCTGGCTTGGGTGCAATTTAGGCTGTGGGCTACATTTTTCTTCGCATCAGAAGTTGCATCATTGAATCTGCCATCGATGTCAAAATGTGTCTACAATTCCCATCTTTGAATGTTCAGAAGTGTTTCAACTGATTGGTTCCAACTTGCCATGTTTTTGCAATATCCGTTATGAAGTATGCTAGGGCCATATCCTACTTTTGTACGCATACAATCCCCACTGACCAGAGGAATTACGCTGCCTTACATCAGCATGCCATCACAAAAATTCCTCTTGGCTTTTCTTTTCTTTTTGGTCCAAATTCCAAATTACACTGGAGGGCCCGGAAAACTCTATAAAGTCCAAGTATAACAAATCTTGGATGGCAAAGTCCCTAGCATCATCCTCTCATCAGCATTCACAGATCTGACATCACTTAATGGCTAAGCAAAATTCTACAATGATAAGGTCACCTATATGCAGCATTCGCTGATTTCCAATTCCCTATTTGATATCAACAATAGCAATTGGCAGAGAGTTACTTATATCATGTGGTAGTCAGTAATAGGAATTTTACTATAGTGCCAAATTTAGCCATGCAAAAAATCAATTATAATTCGTCACGTGAGCACTCACTATTAGGGATTACTGATTTTACTTTCGAGAAGTAGCGAGTAGCGACTTATACTTTTGATTTTGCGTACTCAACTACTTAACCCTTGACTTTCAATACTGGTTTGTAATGTTAAAAAATACCCTTTCGACACTTAAAAATTTGATCAGTAATAGTATTGTCATTTGATATTTGTTAAGATTATTCTTCATCTAACCAATTTTTTAAGTGTGGTATATGACTATGTCACCCTAGATTTTGTGCAATGAACTGTCACATAATGAAATGAAAATCAATTACCAACCTTGTGCAATATTAATGTTATACTCACTTTGTGTATACTGGCTTTTAACTTGCTTAAAAATAGTTTGTTGTGCGCGCGATAATCCTTTACATCTATTTGCTCAAACAAATTCCATCGCTGTTCTGATTGCCCACAACTCTGTTGAACTCGAAGCAGTTTAAAGGGGCTGGCCAACATAAAAGAAAAAAGAAATAAAGAGGTATTTCTTTTAGTCCGAAGGTTCCACCAGCTAATTGCGAGAAGAAACCTAGTCCAAAGGACTTGTAAAAGCCATGTGGGCATGCATATTCAACTCAGGACTCGTTTTACATGCAACCAAGTTGGTTGATAAAGGATTCGTCTACGGTTATAGTTCAGATTGCAAATTTTTTTCCCCACTACTTATTCAGACACTTCAGGACCTGAGTTTTAGCGGACAGATTTCCACACAGAAATTTGGAAGAAACACCAGGGAAAAGCAGAGAGATGATGTGATAGAAGGTAAAGTTAGAAAATCAAACGAGAACCAAAGAGGAATTGTCTCCATGTTTGAAGTTCCGGTGGTGGAGTATATATTCTTTCAGAAAGGAAGAAGGGACCCCCCGGCCCCGGGGGGGGGGAGGTTGCATTTCTGCAGCAATTTCAGGTCATTGTTCCATTCAACAACTACAGATACATTCCCAGCCTAGGTTTGAAATGGGATCATGTCGAAGCAAAATATTATAGAAGACTAAAAAAATGGCAAACAATTACAATACAAATAAAAGAGATGTAGAAGGAAAATGAACCTTCAGTAACAGATTGCTACAGCTGCTAAATCAAGTTCCTCTGTGATTCATCAGTCAATATTCTAAATACATTAGCTCTCTATCGGTGTATATTACTCTCTACATTGGTATCAGAAAGAAACCTCCTCAAAAACAGACTCTGTAGAACTGTGAACGCCCTCCGCATAGTACTACCAACTTGAACTCTACAAGGATCTCGCATTCCTCCCATTTTTTCTGCTCACAACTTCACATAGTCTACAGGGCAAAGTGTCTAAGCTTGCTGCACGTGTTCTCCGATAATTACCTAACACACCACATCTCCTCCATGCATGATATTCAGCATAAGCTACAGGGTCATTAGCAAGGGCCTTAACATAGGAAGCCAATTCCTCAATAGAACTGAATTTAGACCCATCTATTATGGAATGTGGAGGTACAAGGTCCCAAACATTCGGCGCACCAAAGTAGATGGGCACTGCACCAGAATCTAGAGCATAAAACAACTTCTCCGTGACATAGCTCTCAGTCTTTGTGTTCTCAATTGCGAGTACAAACTTATAGTTGGACATGGCACAATGTAAATGGTCCCACCATTTAGGTGCTTCACCTGCATCCTTTGTGCATTCAGGATAGAGGGAGAGTGCCATGTCTAAACCGCCAACATTATTCAAGCACTTGCCAAATGAATGATAGGGCAGCAAGCTGAGTATGCGTTTGGCAAGATGATTTCTTTCAGGAAGACAACGTGATGAAGACCAATAAACCAGAGTATCCTGAAAATTCACAAATTGTTATAAGTTGCAGAAACAACATAAAAAAAAAAAAAAAAAAAAAGAGGAAGCAACAAAGGCGCTAGGTTGATGGACAGAAAGTATAAATAACCCTCAGAAGCATGAGAAAAAAGGAAAGGGAAGAAAAAGTAGAATAAAGGAGCTTAAAGGGCAAGAAGGCCAGGACAGTACAGAATACCAACATTGTTCTTATGTCGAGACAAATGATAATTTCGATTGTTGTGAAACAATGCACCAGCATAAGTTGACTGAACATCATCTTTAGCATGATAACTAATAAAGATATCTTCATTGCCTGATCTTTTCCTGCCAGCTTCCAGATCCATATATACACGCAGTGGTTCACCTTGGTGTCTCTGACAAAAAATAAGTACCTTTGAATACCTTATAAAGCAAAACAGCAAATACATATTTTTTTCTTTAAGTTCAAGCATTTTGGTTTAGGTAGACAAGGGAATTAAAAGAGGGTTGAGGACTGTGTAGGAGGAGATAATTGAGAAATCACAATTTTTTTTTCTCATGCATCACCAATAATCTCTCTTCAACACGCCACTTTATTACATTTATTCACGATAAGGGCATAAGGTAAAACACATTATACCTATGTAACAAACTAAGAATAATGAAGAACAAGAATCAATAAGAGCTGTAGACAAAAGAGTAAACTTTGTTGTTAATAACTAACAAGCCAAAAAGCCAGCAACCAGTGAAAGAAAGCATAAAAATTTCATTTAAACAAAGTGAAGCAGTCATCCTCTTCTTCCTTTCCTTTTTCTTTTTCTTTTTCCATATTTATATGTAATTTTTTTTTTGTAACTCCAGTGGGTTTGGCCTAATGAGGTGAGAATGACAAGAAATTGCTCTGATGGCCATAAAGAAATCAATGTCAGTTTACCTAAATAACACATACGGTTAATATTATCCAACTCAAAACATTGCATTACAAAATATTTCTTTCAGGAGACAAAGCTTCATCCAATTATTAATAGTTTTTATATATATGTTCCATACGATTTTCAAGAAAGATATTGAGTCCATATCTAAGTAATTATACCATCATAGTACTGTGTCCATAGCAGGCAAGAACTGGGTAAAATATAATCCAGAACCACTGACAACCAGATCTTTCTAACTAATAGCCTGTCTTTGAAGCAGAGCTACTTAATAACTTAAGGTAGAGGTGTTAGAAGAACAAGAAGAAAACCAACTTTAGAGGGGAAGGGGATAATGCAAATCTAAGACACAAAGCAGCAGGGTGCCTTGCTCTATTATATCAATAGATGTGCAAGAGTCAGAGATGGATATGGTTAATAATTTTTTCTCTCCACTGCATCAAGTAAAAGAGTATCCCTCAGTTGAGATTTTTGACTGGTACTTCATAGATCCACAGTATTCTGTACTTTCTTGAGGTACTCTATATCATCTAATGGAGCTTAAACTAATTTGTTCTTCAATCCCCCCTTTCTCTAAGTAAAAGAAACAAAAGGTTCACTGACAAAGAAAAAATGAGTTCTCAAAAAGCCATTTCAAGAAGGATTGAAATTCTCTATGATTCTTGAATTTAGGAGTACCATTAATTATCTACCTCACAAAAATATTTAGTCCATGCCATATTTCCCTAATAGGAGAAGATTCACCCTTATTCCCCTCTATAGCTCACAAGCGTCAAAATCTTATTTATGCCTAGTTTCCAGAATATTACCCAGAAGACCTGATCATGAGATCTCTTTTTTGGTGTTAAACATATTATCTTGGCAACATATTGCAGAAAATAATAACTAATCCAACAAAGAATAGAAATCGTAAATTGCAAGAACCATACATCCATGTCAGATGCCTAACTTATTTATGCACCATGGAACGATTAAGCTATCAAAATGAGAAACATACAATTAAGGTCGCACTCCATCTACAAGTAGGTCTAAAACATCAGACAAACTGACACTACATTAACCACATAAAAAATATTCTACAACATAGATGATTTGCTCTTATGCCACCCAAAAACAAACAGTCGCAGATACTACAGAGAAATGATGATATTTCCCCCAGCATTCCGAACTCCAGAATCTTAAACATCAGGCATAATGAATTCCAACTTTCACTTAAAGACCTAAAACCTCAAATGATTTCATAGTTAATTAAACCACAAATACAAAATTCATAATGTATATCAGTTGTTATTATGCCATAAGAAAATTATATACAATATCCTAAACATGATATTCTCTTTGAACTCCGAACTCTGAAATCCTAACCATCAGGCAAACCTTCATTTTTAGGCAGCCATGAGTGTTCAAAAAACAGATGCAGTAGAGTCATACATGTGCAGTATAAACAATAACAAAATATCAAAGTTATACAAAAAGAAAAGCAAAACGAAACAAAAGTCAAACTGAGTAAAGATTGGTGGATCAAATTAAGGGGTGGAAGTACCTGAAAAGGAGGAGTGGTGGTCTCAAACAACAATGCATCGGGTTTATCAGCAAGAACTGAAGATTTAGTCCACAAACAGCTCAACCCACATCGACAACTATACAAATTATCCAAATTATCA